TTATTACAAGATTTTCTTACAGAGATCATAACTGTGTCACAATTTTATGTTTTGTTTTATTATTTTTTACAACTATACTAAAATATATTTTAATGACCATAATTCACTTAGATAAGAATATTAAAAACTACTCTTTCATATACTGTTCTTATTTTTATTAAGTATTTTTATTCCTTTAAAACTTCATATACAAAGTAATCGATTTTGAAATTAATGTGAATTACTTTTGCACATGAAAATGCCAATTGAAATAATGCTATTTAAGTAAAAAACAATTTCCATCATTAAGTTTCCAAAATTATTAAAAACGTTTCTTTTACTTTTATTACAGTTTTTATAAAATCACATTTGGATCTGTCATGAGAAAAAAATTTTAATCAAAATTTAGACCATTTTCCAACTAACCAGTGGGTTTAAATTTCTTTCTGTAACACTATGCCTAGTGGCAGTAAAAGTTTCATTGGCATCATTGCTACAGAAAGATTTTTATCACCAAATATATTTTTTACCCTAAATCTTTGATCACTTTCCGAATAACTTAGGTACTCTCAATTTCAAATACAGCTTTTTGTCTGAGAACAATGTAAGTTTTAATCTTTTTCTGACCAACACAAGCAGAATTTGTCTCTATGATTTTATCTGAAATTCATCGTTACTAAATATTTTGACCACTTTCTGACTATCTAATGTGTTTAAATTTTAAATGGAGTTACAAGTGTTAAAAGTATCAATTAACAATACAAGTATCAAGTATCATTTTGTTAAACAGCTCTTGATAGAATTTTTTTAGCTATATCAACGTCTGGCAGAATTTAATACCAATCGAAATTTCGATCCCCTTCTAACAAGCTATCATGCTCAAAGTTTCACTAGTGCCTAATGCTAATTTAATTTAATATTCCTTTTTTAAATAATGTGAATAAATTAATGGCTATATTAACACTATTTTATTTATCGAAACTTAAGTAGGTAAAAAAAACTTACAGACATAAAAAACATTTAAAAACTACTTTTTTAAATAGAAAAAATGTTTCAAATTTTGTCTGATTAAAATAGGTATCAAGCCTCAACTAGCTTAGAGTGCTTTATTTAAAGTAAAAAGAACTTTTATCACAATCGACGAACAACCCTTCTTTCTGACGTCTTTCGAAAATACTAAGCTCCATATTTATTTGTTTTAGGACTCAAAAAAATCAAATTGTTTCCTATTATTTTGTTATCCTATTAAACAATTATCCACTTGAATAATGTAGCTTTAATAAATTTTAATTTGTTGTTTTTTTAAACCCCTTATTATTTTTACCCGTACGTTTTTAATAAATTACTGTCAGAGTTTTATGTTACATTGCTTACCAATTATTAAACGCTGCAAGTTAAAAACAGAATTGATAATCCCCCAAAAAATTAAATAATTATCTTGCTTGTTTCCTCTCTTTTAATTCAATTTGTTAACTGTGACGACCAGAATATTAAAAATGTATAAAATCTATCTCGTCATCAGCCTTATTTAGCTGCCACTTTTAGCGAGATATGTCTTCTTATGGCAAAAATGTATACGTTAAATGAAATTAAAACTCTTATTGATATCTGATTTAGACAGGCGAGTACGGGAATCCTTGTTTTATAATTTTAAGCTTTACTGGATCTAGCTGTCACACTTTTGAATATGTAGTCTTAATAGCAGTGTTTATGTGACGCTTGATATCATTTTTAATACTTTTTATAAATTAAATTTTGCACTTTTTTAGTAAGTGTGTGTTTTTTTACATATGTAAATGTTTTACGAATAAGTAAAAGGTGTCAATTCAAAAAGATGTCCAATCGATATAAAGCCACTCCTATATATGGCCAAAATACTCGCCACACTTAAATATGACTTGAATCATGAAATGTTGCTCACTTTTTATCAATACCTGGAGGATAGTGACATCAATATTATGCCAGGTATCAATGGTGGTATCTTTCAATTTTGCCACATATAGAAACAGCCACTTAGAAACTGCCCCCTAGAGATAGAAACAGTCCCTACAGATGGAAACAGCCCCCTACGATTCTTAGGGATTGAAGTTAGGAGATAGGAGAAGCAATAAGCAACCTGCGATGAAAAACCACTACTGTGAAAAAATTTTATCGTAAATTGAGGTAGTATCTTGCTAGAAGATTTGGCTCGAGCTACCAATTTTCCTGAAAAATGGCAATAAATTAGTTTCTAGTATTTTTGGGTAATCGGTAGCCTTTATGCGATCTACGGTAAAAACCAAGTTAAGTTTATCTTCATATTCAAAACCTCCTACACCTATGGCCTGCTGATCATTGGAGAAGATTTCCGAATTTAAAGTTTCATTCTATATATACTTTGCGATAGAATAGAGCAAAGGAAATAGTTCTATTCTATCGCAATGAACATCAGGGTTACTTTTAATATGTGTTCTTCGAAAGCGTTAATTTTGGTTAAATTTTGACATAGTGAGTTGTTGTTAATGAAGAATGCTTTTAAGAAGACGAAGAATCCATAATCAACAGCTCCCTGACTTTGAACATGGTCGTGCAAAAGAACTGCAAGATGGTGGATTTTCTTTCTGGATATTGCAGGACTGGGGGAAAATGTGTCACTGTGCATGTGCAAATGTATCACCGCGTTTTATTTGACCATGATTTCCGTTGAATAGCCGACCCAATTTTCTTGAGTTTGCGACTACCAATGTTCTACCCCATAGCCTCGTAAGAACCTAATCCAGCAGACGAGGGAACTCCTAGATCAAGTATTGAAAGAAATTTGTTTCCGTTGAGGATTTTCTGATGGAACTAACCCACAAATACGTCACTTGGAGAGGAAAATCACGAACACCTCCCAAAAGTAGCCTGACAGCAAGGAGACTTTAAACCCTGATCCATCTATTAAAGAGGATATTTTACATCAGCACAGTGGTTGGTGCAGGTCGGTTGCGGAATTCGCATCGACCAGCCACATCTGGGATTCGAACACTCTTCTCCACATTAGGAGGTGAATACTCTATCCCATTGAGCAACCAAGGCTCACGGCACATGGCAGCAGTGGTCAAGGGAATGTACTGCTTCAAAAAGACTGGGTGGACATTCGACACTACTCAAAGGGAAGATAACCGTATACGGTGTATAGCTGTGACACAGTTTTATTGTAGATTTTGTTTTCCTCGAAATATTCATTTCAATAGCTCGCTCTTTATTTGATGTCAAAAGTTAAAAAAATATAATAGTAAATAATCGGGGAGCTAAAAGTAATAAATTATCGAAATATAATTAAAAGTAATGGATTGAATGTTGCCGGAAATGCATATTATAATTTATTTCAAAATGTTTAAAATATAAAAGACTCTTGTCAATTTAAATATTCCCCAAAACGAACATTAGTGGAAAGATTTTCTAACCAGTTTTTGCTCATTTCCTTCATGATATAATATTTAAATCTGAACTCTTAATACTCTATGAAGAATGCAGAGATGGTGCAGTTTTTTTTTCCTGATAAACGTTGTATATATTTTTATATATCTCCAAGAATTCATCATTTTTTTGATGAAGCAGGGATGTGACCTCACGCTTATTCCATCAAATTAAATTATAAGTCAAACTTTACACAGTAAAAGTGAAAATATCTTATTAACAAATAGCAGCAATGAGTAAACTATATTTTGCTGGGTGTAAGATTTTTAGAAAAAAAAATTTTTTTTGGGGGGGGGCTTTGATTCATGTTCAAAAATGCAATGCTTACCTATTACCACATTATTTATTTACCAAAAAAAAAGAACTAAAATGAAGTAAGAACTTTCAACTTATTTCTCAATCTTTTAAACAACTTTCAATATTTAAGTATTTCTTTATGTTTTTATAAAATAGTTCTGGAAAAAAATGTGATCTTCTCGTACGTGAAGCATTGGAGTGTGTAAAAAAATATTACGATCACATAGCAATCGATTTTCGAAATTTATTGTTTAAGATAATCTACTTTGCTTTTAAAAAAAGAGGTTTATATATCGTTCACTAAATATAAGCAGTATAGGAGGCTCCGTCTCCTTTTCGCTCTGATCACCCATCCCTTGGTTGATTCTTGCCTATTATAGTTTCTTTTTCCTAAATCTTACGTCAACTTACGATTTTTTTTTTAAAAAAAAAGGGTAATTTAAGAGTAAATTTTGTATTTGTTACTTGAATTTCTTAAAATTATATATTTAAGGTAAAGTTTAAAAATTCATAAAAAAAACTTTCAAACTAAGGGCAACATGAAATTTTTTATGTTACGCAAAAAAAGTTACATTGAATTGTTAAACATAAATTTCAAAGTAACTTTTTCTAGATAAAAACTGTGATTACCTGTGTTTGGAACTAAAATATTAATAAAGAAATAAAAAAAAACAATGAAATAAAACTAAATATATTATTTTATATTAATTTTTTATTAAAAATTATAAATGTTCTTATTTAAGTTTGCTAAAAATTATATAGTCACACTTAGATCTTAGTTTTTAGCTCAAAACATTGCTAGAATTATACAAAATCTACATAAAAAATTTCAAAAATTCCATAATTCTTTTTTTTTTTCAATTTTTATTTTTGTAAAGTGTGTTTGAGTAAAGGAATTTTCTCAAAATTATCGTTCTTCAGAAAATGCATTGAAAATGCAAGAAAATTCTGAAATATAAGAAACCTGCTACAACAAAAATACCGTAAACATTTTTTTAACGTAGAGGTGAACACTCAAATCAGCGATTACACTAATATTTTTGAATATTGAGGGAAAAGTATATAGTATTAAAAGTAATATTTCATCCGTGTTGCATAATAATCAACAAAATGCAAAATTAGTTGCTGTTAACGTTATTGTTCCTATTTATGAATTCCGCTTATTTCTTCCAACAAAAGCAAAATTATCACTTTAGGTTTAAAAAAAAGGATTTATTTTAACCTATCTTCAGTTTCATAAACTATTAAAAGCGATAAAGTTTTAAAATTAATTTCTTACTTACCAACACATTTAGACCCAATTTTTTCATATCCTTCTTTACAATCACATGTCACTATGTTAGAAAATTGGCTTTTCTTAACACTGCATTCAAAGTTTTTACCACAATTGCATTCTGCAGAACAAATGGCAGTTAGAATTAAAATATTTTGGAACAAATAAAGCTTAAATCATAAATCGAATCATGCTTATGTAACGTGGTTTTTTTGGAATGACGAGTATTGTGATTCTTCTGCTTTTTATTTATTTTTTTATTATACTTAATTCTAAAATAAAATACAAATTCGCGATAGTTAATTTTGGTGTATTGTGTAGAGACTCTATAGTTCATATCTAGATGTACAGTGCGCAAAATAAAAAACGAACCACCCTGTGTAACTTTTGATTTATCTTCCTATTTTAGAACTCAATCTTAATGGTTTGAGACGATGACCTCAAATATGCTAATTAATTAGTGCAGATGATATTTTAAGTCACAAAATCAGACATGAAAACGTACTTTCTCCTGCTCGGTATAAACATACCTTGTTTTCGACCTATTCCGATTTTTGACTCCGCTATCCGGGAAATATGATACCAAAAGCTTGGTTAGGAGAGTGGTCCAAAGCTTAGACCCTTTAATGTTAATTCCAATGTTTGCGTATTTCACCATATCTCGAAAACTTAAAATATAGTCTGCACTAATTAATTAGCCTTTTGGGAGTCACCCTATTTAACTATTGAAATTGAATCTTAGAACGTGTTGATCCGATCATTAGATCAAAAGTTATTTGGTTGGTTCGCATATTTTTTTCTTTATTTTGCGTACTGCGCAATGCGGAAAAAATGAAAATGTGCGTTTTACTCTAAAAACGCGTATTTTCTAGATAAACATGCCATTTTCCAGCACATTTTGGTATAGCAACCTCAAAATTAAGGGAGAGAGTTGACGGAGTTTTGAAAAGCTGTCATTACTTGTTTAACTGAAATAGTTCCAAATTTTGTTACTCACTTTGTCCAGTATCAGAAATTAATCACCTCTTCATTTTTTCAAATTTTTCAACGATGCAGTCAATTTAATCTCACATACAAAGCAAACTTTACTAATACAAGTTCCTTAAAAATTAGGCATAAAAATATATTTGAATATATGTATTGAATATATATATATATATATATATATATATATACGCGTATTTGAAATTTATATAATTTCGATTTGTTAAAATCTCAACTTACGTATCGTTAAGTTGAATCTTATACAATGTTAATAAAACATTTAATAAATCTCTATTTATTCTTTATATCTCCATTCCTATATATCCCTTATTCTTTCTGTTTTCCTTGCAATTCAACTTTTACATTTCTATTCGAAACAAAATTTATAATTTATCTAATTTCTTAACATATATTATTTGCTAATTTATACGCATTTATAATAATATACTATTTTAAATAATTTTTTAATAAATAATATTTACTATACTAATTTTGTAACATAACATTTTAATTAACATATTAATAATTAAGAAGCTTTTGAGATTTAGAGAATAAAAATAAATGAAAGAGATTTTTTAATAGAGACCTATAAGTAGAAAAGGTATTTTTTTTTTATAATAATTAATTGTGAAAATTAGAAACGCCTTCCCTTTGAGGAACTTTCGAAAATTTAAACTGACAGGTAGTTATCTATATTTCGGCATTTATAAACAAACATAATTATCAGATTATTCATATGTTTGATTAAACATATGAATAATCTGATGCGTGTGATTTATGAGTGTGATTTTGATCTACCCCTTTCAAAATCACACTCGTAATCAGCGACTAAAAAAAATTCTGTCCTTAAGAAGTTTTTGTTTTGTAAAAAAGTAATAAAAGCTACGAGGAAAGCTCTTTTAACATTAACACAGTTCTCTTCATTTTATTTGCATTTTATCTGAATCAATAAAAATAGCAGATTATAAATTAATTAGAATTTTATAGAAAATAATACAATTGCTTCGTCTCTTTAGAGTTTTACCTCATATAGATTTAAAAAATAGAATCCTGCGAGATTTGAAAGTTGTAGCACAATTGTGGAAAAAAATTGCAAGGAATCTTATGCCTGATAAACAATGATGACAATTTCAGGAATATTTTAAAACTACAGCACATAACTTACAGAAGAGAAAATATCAAATAAAATATAAATGCCAAGTTACCAGATTTTATTTTGGAAACTTCTCTATAGCAATGGCGTTTACTAATTTTACAAATAAATTATTAGATCTTTCATTAATTGGCTAATTCGGATATATAGAATTCCATTTTACAGCAAAGAGCAATGCAACTATTAAATTTTTTGAATTCATTTTTAAGCATTTTTCATCAATCAATATTTTAGATTTAAATATAAATTTTCAAAAATCTGCAAGTCCAGACAATAAAAAAAAATTTAACTTTTCAATTTTTTTCATAATTAACGATTTCTCTACATAACATAAAACATGATGGTCTACCACAGTTTTCTGTTGTTGTCAGCGCCTTTTTACTGACTGGAAAATCAAATTGTAGGATCTAGTTTTCCCACATTGAATTCCATATTGTTTTTGTTGTCATCCGCATAAAATTAATAAAAATCCTAAAAAAGGTATTGTAAAATTTCAAGGAAAGTCTGTACTAATATTATTATGATTTTGGTTGTTTTCTAACTTAAGAAAATAAGACTAAGAGAATTGTCTTTTTCAATTATAATTTAATTTTACTCTTTATTTTACGATGAAGTTATTTAAATCGGTATTTAATCTTATCAGCAGTTTTCCAATTATTATTTTTTTGCAAATTTCATTAATATACTATTGTAAATTGCAGTTAAAGAGATTCGTCATATGATTTCGATCTAAATGATCAGCTTCAAGCACTAAGTGATTCATAAATCCGTCTGTTAGGTACACGAGAATATTAAATCACGATTGTGAGTTGTGTCGTATCATAAAAAAATTACGTATTTCTTTCGAAAAAGTTAAAACTAAGGCTCCTATTCTGTCTAATTCAGGGGCTCTAGTTAAAACAAGCATAATTAAATAAACACCGGTACTGTTAACTGTCATATATAATTTAGGATATTTCTTTGAGATATTGCCATAACAATATATAGAATTAATTTCCAATCAATCATTCGAAAAATATAAAAGTAATCACTACATAGGCCAAACTAATGTTCCATTTTATTTTTTACCCATATTTTATCGATTTATAAAACCTAAAAATTATAATTTAATATTTTCTAAATATGTTTTTTTTAATATTCATTTGTTATGTAACAATGTTTATGTTTAGTTTTTAGTTGGAATCTGTTCCCCTAGTGGAACTCGTTGCCACTATATATAAATTCGATGCGGCATTACTTAAGTATATTTCTGTTTACACAATCCTTATTTCATGTTTATACAAAATAGTATAGGAAATAAAAACCTTCTATCATTATTTATCCTTTTTCTTATACAGAATTATGCTTAAAAAACTTTATTCTGTACAATCCCAACACAATTTGAAATTTTGCCTAATTATTGCATTTTTTATAACACTGCTATAAAATTCTGTTATTAACATTCTAGTTAACTTATGAAATTAGAGATATTCACGAACGATAAACATTATTCTTTTCAAATATGCCATGATTGCGATACCTGTTATTGCAGACTTAAAAAAAATAAATTGTATGGTAACAAACCTTTGGTCAGTCAGGTGCATTTTTAAGTAAAAGAATTTAAATTCATTTTATTATAATTACTTTTAATAAATATACTTTTAAAGTTGAATATTGATTAATGACAATTAAGATTGCCATTTTTCAAAGTATACTTATAATCATGATAGCAAGTACAGAAAGCAGAAAAAAACCCGGGCAAACAATTCTTAATATGACTTTATTAAGAATTAATAAATTAACAAAATTTAGCAAATAATAATAAGGGTGAACTTTTATTAATAATTAAATTTAAATAGTTTCAAAAACGCCATTTTCGCTACATTGCAAAGATACAAGCGTTTATTGAAATTTACAGTAATGAGCAGCAAGACCCCTGCAGAAGAGAGAGTGATTGCTTTAGAGTGTCCTAATTTTTGTGTGGTTTAGTGCAGCCCCTAGACTCCTAAATGGACCATATACTGGAATCCATAGTATAGAAATCTAGCTAGTAGGGTGGCCATTCTGTAGTTGATATCATGTCCGGAAAATGTCCCATGCTCCTCCCCTGATTCTTTTGACTCTTGTGAGCTGGCGCAGAGAATTTTGAAACGCCCATTTTATAGTGCTTTTGTGGTTCAGTGAAGTACAGATATTTCTAAAATGAATTAGATTTATTTTAACACCGTTATTCACTAAAAACAAGAAGTGGTTTCAAATTAGGTTGAAATCCGCTTCTGAACATGATTGATTTTGGATTTTGGTGTTGTTAAATAATCTCCGAGGTACTCGGAGTGTCTAAAGACCAGATTCTATCTTTCTGGGAATTTTGAGCTCGTTGGATTGTGAAAAGCTTCTCATCAGCGAAACGGAATTCCTGCCTACACTTACATGCTACCCATTGCTGAAAAATGTAAAAAGTTTTGTGCCTTTTCATTACTGCAAAGAGTGACCATTTTTTGAAATGAATTAAATTTATTTATTAGCAAACATACGTGTAGGAAACAGTGTGGTAGATCTTGCAGCTAAGACTGGAGGGCCTGTTAGAATTAAACTGTTTGACCTTGAAGCTGTCAGCTATAATCAAGATACTTTAGTCAGTTGTGCACAATGTATCATACCTGAAAGTTTTAGTTGCAATACTTTTTTATAACAGATTTTTTTTTCTAGAAAAAGTCAAATCATCTTACAACACTAGTGGAGTAAAACCGGGAACATATTTTCATTCAATGGAAATTCAAAAAAAAATGGCTTACTTTTTTATTTTATACGACAATTCAAGAAAATTATTCATGTAATTTATATGGGATGCGGTCAATACCATAGGCACATGGAGGGGGGGGGGTAAAGAAGCACAATGGATGTCCGGAACAAAATATTAAGTCTATTAGCTAGTTTTTTTAAAAAAAACAAAATTGTCAAGAAATTCTTTATATCGAAATAGAAAGAACTAGAACTTTATATAAAGGATATTCAAATATTATATACAAAATATGAAAATAAAGCTTCTTTCTAGTTCGAAGAAGCTCTTAATAAATCTTGCTCTCTGGAACTTTTATTCTGCCTTAGATGTAGTTATCTTCTTCCTTCGTTGCACTACAGCTTTCGTGGGTCCCGCATAGACTCACGCCAAGGGGTTGAGGACAAAACCGTAGTAGAAGACAAGCTGACAAATTTTATGTTGGGAATTGTATTATTCATAATTATAATAAATTTAAATTTTGTTCTACAAAAATTTCCAGATTTAATTTTACATGTTTTACTATGAAATATTTTATCATTTTTAATTTTTATTCCTGTACAAATTTCATATACTTTTGCATAGTCCCTCGGTACTCTCTTCCTTACAAATGCAATATGTATCGTCTGACCATCTTCCAACATCAAATGAGCAGCCAATTCCTTTCCCACAATTGCATTATGAAAGGAAAAAAATAATGTATATATGAAGTTAAAATATGTATTGTATAAAAAAATCTAATTGTTAAGTTTTAAAATGTGAAATTCATATATTCTCATTAAAATATTACAAACTGTATAAGTTCAAGTATATTAATATGCATCTATCTATGCACTATTTAGTGCATAGATGGTTGTGATCATGACTGTTAAAGCTGAGGATTGAATATTGATGTGGGCAATTCTTACGTGGCATCCCCAGCAGACGAGGTTAAGAACCGCCTGAGGCCAATGATGAAATGCCCGAAACTAATGATGTGTGTCATGATAGTGTTCAGTGTTTAATCAAACAATATTCGAAAATAATGTTCATTGATGTTGCTGAAAGAAGAGGGTTTTTTGTTAAATTCTAATTGTCAACTTTTAAAATATGAAAATCCAGATATTCTCAGTAAAATATAACAAATTGTATTAAGCTCAAGTATATTAGTGCATAGATATAAATAAAAGTAATATGTATGATGAGTAAATATGAAATTGAAATAAATAACTGATTAAAGATCCTAAATTATAGATTCTTAACGAATATAAGTCATCATCATGAATTAGGAATTTGCAACCACTTTAATGCCAGTTTTTTTGCGTGCTGATAAACTGAGTATCTAATATTCAAATTAAGATCAAGCTAGTTCCAAAGAATAACAATATACAACAGGTGAAACACCAATTTCAAACTAGCACTAAAAACTATGTGAAAAATAAGAGTACATTGCGGTTGAAGCAATAAAAAAATGTCGCAACTGAAAAATAAAACGGTCAACAAAAGTAAAATACTTTTACAAAAATCAAGGTATTGTTTTCAGAATTTTTCATCGGTCTTAGAGGTAGTATCAGGTTACGAAATAGCTCTCATTTCTGCCATAGCTTATGCTCGCTGTTCAATTAAAATAGTCCTTTGAATGTTTTTCTGTTTGTACTCACTTAAAATGAACAAGTGAAAATAACTCAACTTGAGTGTTATTTAACTCTTTCATCTAGAAAAAAGCGGCCTTCTTTTCTTGAGTTAAAATCACTCAAGTGAAAGAGTTAGATGGAAAACACTCAAGTTTGAGTGAAAAAATTTCACTCAAACTTGAGCTATTTTCACTCGTGTTTGAGTGATTTTCAGTATTACTTGACATTCATGATTCATTTTAACTTGAATTTGTGTGAATTTCAATTACTTTTTATTCATAATTAGCATCATTTGAGTGAATACATTTTAATCATACTAATGTGGGGATGACCTTCAGACAATGCCAACCTTCATCTATTAAAAGGTACCTCTGGTTACCTTTAGAACCAATTTAGCACGTCTTACATACTAGTGAATTGATGTTTAATTTTTGTAGTGGTAGTTATGCCGTAATTATATCTGCTGAACATATAAATATATAGTGTATAATAAGAGCACAAGCGTTATGCGCCAGTTTGGGTGCTCACTTACCAGTTTTTCCACCACCGTTTATTAAATTGGCAATGATAGTTGCGATTTTTACATTATACAGTTCAGCCAATCAATCAGTTTGAAAAACTTCTTTAATACGTGTTAGCTGATGAGCATTTATTCGTCCATCAAGAAGTTGTTGTTATTATCATTAGTGCCATTTATTATTTTTTACCCAGCCTTATTGAAACGACAAAAGTACAGCATTCTCCTACAATATCTCCTCCCCCACGACTGGATGTGCGATTATTGAATGTGGCATAGAAGAATAATTAATGAAATGAAAATTAATTTCACTGAAATAATTCAAAAGTGCCACTTATTGTTTTAACAGCATATAAATATCTCTCTTTATTTTTGCATTCATTTATGCACAAATTTCTATACCTAGGAACTTTGACAATCACAATTTTAAAAAGATAAAGTGAAAGTCAAAAAATTTAATGCATTATAAATTCTCCACACCGATTAATTTTATTCCAGATAAGAAACAGCGAGGGTTGAAATATTTATTTATAAAAAGGTCTTACTTTTGCATTCCTTGTCTGAATATTTTCCGTGCTCTGGCCAACATACGCATCCTTTTCCTTCAACGCAGTCACCATTCTTGCACTGGCATCCTGGTTAAATTTAAAAGATGAAGTTATTATTTTTTAACTTGAGTCTTTAATTATATTTGTTTGCAATGTCATTAAGGAAATATTCTCATATAATTATAAACTGCTGTTTGTAGAAAATGCAACACCATGAAGGAATCATCAGAATCAAATGAAATTCGCAGCAAATGTCAATTATAGGATATTATGCAAATTAATAAAGTTTCAGAGCCATCGCGCGTGCGTTGCGCGCGCAGCGCCCTCTGAATTGATGCTGAAAGCGTATAAATAAAGTGCTGTAGCGGGACGTTGAAAATAGTCTATGATTATTTGTTAGTGGCAAACGTTTAGTGAGACCTGAGTATGCCTCCACGACGGAAGAATAAGAAATTCAAGCAACTTACGGAGTTTGAACGAGGGAGGATAATCGGCCTTCGAGAAGGAGGATTTTCCTATCGCGCAATAGCAGCTCGTATGCAGCGGAACAGTTCCACAGTGATGCGAGTTTGGAAGCAGTGGACCGACGAGCACCGAACAACTCGAAAAACAGGCACTGGACGACAGAAGGTGACGTCAGAGCGCGATGATCGACACCTGCTCCGCATGGCGGTGAATGATCGCACAGCTTCCTCCAGGCAGCTGGCAGCACATTGGTCTACTGCTACAGGTGTACAATTGTCGGCTTCGTCAATTCGTCGTCGTCTGCTGCGCCGTGGATTGCGTGCAAGGGTGCCATTATACAGGATTCCCCTCACGGCGGATCATCGACGGCTGCGTCGGCAGTGGGCTCTTGAGCACAGAGACTGGCGAGCTGATTGGCACCAAGTTGTCTTTTCAGATGAATCACGCTTCAATTTGTGGACCCATGATGGCCGTGTTCGTGTTAGACGTTATGCCGGTCAACGCTGCCTTCCTGAGTGTATTATTGAACGACATAGTGGTCGAACACCCGGAGTTATGGTCTGGGGTGCGATTTCGTATCATGGACGATCCAATTTGATACGAATTGAGGGTAATCTCAATAGCAACAGATACGTCCGTGAAGTGCTACAGCCCGAAGTCGTTCCTTTCCTTCAAGGCATCCCTGGAGCTATCTTTCAGCAGGATAATGCACGCCCACATGTTGCGCGGACTGTTAGAGACTTCTGTTCAGCACAACGCATGCAACTTCTTCCTTGGCCTGCTTATTCGCCGGATATGTCGCCTATTGAGCACGTGTGGGATATGGTTGGTCGGCGTCTCACTCGTGATCCGCGTCCTGCAGTTTCCAAAGACGAACTTTGGTTGCGCATACAAGCGATATGGAATTCTCTTCCTCAAGCAGATATTCAACATCTGTTTGACTCCATGCCACGTCGTATAGCAGCACTTATTGCAGCGCGTGGTGGCTGCACCACATACTGATTTCGGACGCTTAATTTGTTTCTTTTGTTTTGAAAATTTCATCATTTATTTGTATCAGTACAAGTCGTTTCTGCATTAAATTTCATTTGATTCTGATGATTCTTTCATGGTGTTGCATTTTCTACAAACAGCAGTTTAGAAAAATATGCTCCCGTGTGTCTATTATACAAGTTTAAAATATCCGTGCCAAAAATACCCCAACTAAAAATAAACTGCCATTTTTTTTCCGAATTGAAATATTTTACTATCAATAATATATTTTCTTTTGCGTAATCTTAACTGTAAAAATACTTTAGTTATTTTTCAACTAAAAAATAATAAAACTTTATATTATATTGAAGTAATTCGACTGTCATTGTTTGAGAGGTTTATTTTCTGTTGCATTACAGCAAAATTGCGACTATTTGAGTATTTAAGTGAGTCTAAACTTATATATTAAGAACGGAAATAACGCACACTATCCTTATTAATGTATATATTAATACATAATTGACATAATTATATTTGTTTTGTTAGTACAATTTAATTTTTTTTTAATCTGCTTAAAATTAAGTATTTAAATATTCCTGCATTTTGGTAATTTTTGAAATATATGCTTTTTAATTTATTATTTATTTATTTATTTCTTACGTAAAAATTTCTTTCACATAAAGTTGGGGTTGAGAACAATATTATAATAAAATGTGAATTCATAAGAACAATAAGTTTTTTTATTCGAATTCGTATTAAACTAGAACTGTTTCAGAACTAAAATTTGACTTAAAATTTGGTCTAATGAAATAAATAAATTTTATTATTTTTGCTTTTAAACAGCTTAATATCAAAAGAGTTTACGTAATTAAATTTGAAAACGGATATTCAATCCCAGAAATTTTAGATTCAATGATCTCTTTTTAAACTTTTGCTTCGGAAATTTATTAATTTTAGTCTGTTGTTAAAATTTAAAAATAAATTTAGGTGTTTTAAAACAAATACTTATTTATTGTTTATTTTTTAATTAAACAAATATCTTTCTTTAAAAAACATTTTATAGTATTTTAATGGCTTATAATATTATAATGCTATGGCAAGAAACGCAAAAGATGCAAATCGAGTTTTAGAAGTTCGTTAAATTTAAATGAGAGAAATTTCTTAGAAATATGATTACATTACAATTTATTTAACTGCTAATTTATCATATTCAATTAAAACAGTCAAATATGGAAGATACTCGAACTGTTTGGCATGAGAAAATTCGCTTATTGACTATTTTCACCTAAACTGTTTGAACAACCGGAATTTCATTCATCGTTAATTAGGTCAAACTTAGGATGCCACTTAGTTTCTTGCAACTGAGAACATGCTGTAGTTGAGAGGGACAATTTGACATACCATTACCGATAGGACTGGGCGATATTAGAAATTATATATCGTGATATATCGTCAGTTTTGCATCGCGATATAGCGATGTATCGCTTAAATTTTCAAAAAAGATTCATTTACTTTAAGGCACAGAAAGTCAGATTTCTATCAAGACTTCATACGCATATTGATTTAAATCAATTTATAAATTTGAAAATATATATGTTTTGCTAAAGAAAGATATTAAATAAATTGACTAAGATGTACAAATCTTACTTAAAATATTTATTGAAAAAATGTGTGTAGATACAGAATGAAATATTTGCACTTCTTTATCGTTTATAAGGTATAAGCAGTCTTAATTTAAGTTAACCCCTAAAACACCCTTAATGAAAAAAAATATTGTTATTAAACAAAAGCTGATTTTAAAATTTCAAAATATATTTTAATTAAAATAAAAGTTAGATTGACTAAAAGCCGAAGTTTAAAATTAAAAATGTTCGAATTTTAAACTAAAAAGTAAACATAAGATTTGTAATAATTTCTTAAAATTTTCGTTCTCTGAAAGATTTCTCAGTTTAAAAATAAAAAGGGAATTTTATAAAGATATCTAGCTGAAATTATTGAAAGAAAATTTAAAAAATTAAAAAAAAAGTTTGTTAAGAAATTCATTATACACTTAAAACAAAGTGTTAAAAATATTTTTTTTTTTTAAAAAAAAAAACTTTTTTTAACAAATCAATATTTGCTTGTACTATTATGCGTAAATAATTACAGAATTATTAAGTTCGATCGTAATGTTCAAATTCTTAATGAAGAAGTAAACACAAGTTTTGTTATATTTTCTAAAAATGATCACGCAAATAACAAAAGATTTCTTAGTTTAAAAATAAAAAAATAAATAAAAGTGAAATTTATCAATATATTTACCTAACAGCATAGGAACAAAATTTAAAAAATAAGTTCGTTAAAAAATTATTTGTATGCTTAAAACAAAGAGCTAAATAAATTTTAGAAAAAAAATGCTTCTTAAACACTATTTTTATTATTATTTCATATAAATAATTAAATTAAATTAAATAATGACCGAATTATGAACGAAAAACAAAGTAAGGCAAAGTTTCTTAATTAAATTCTTAAAAATAAAAACAAAAGAATTGTGATATTCGGTAATATATTTAGCTAATTAACTAATAATATAAAACGAAAATTAAAAAAAAATAATGATTTTACTCTCTAATAAAACGAAGTAGTAATTGATAAAAAAAAAAAAAAAAATGAATAAAATTCGCAAACTTTTCAAATTCTTTTGAACAAATAAAGTTTATTGACTTATGTCCAAAAAATAAGTTTTGTTTTAACTTTATTTCTAAAAATAAAAACAACTCAAGATTTATAAATTTAAAATCAGTAATAGAAGCCCATTAAATTATTAGAAGTTTTATCCGAAAGGTTTTTAATAAATTAAAAGAAAGTAAAAAAATAACCTAACAAATTTATTTACTTTGTAATTTAATTCCTTATGGGTGCCTTAAATTAGATTTCCGATAATTTTCACATTTAAAAATATAAAAAAAGTTTTGTCAGAAAATAAATAAAAAACTTACCTAATTAATGAAGAAACTTTTCTTTATAAATTCTTTTCAATAATAGATTGCGTTCAGAACAAGGTTACGACGGCGATCACGAAGTTAATCCCATTGAAAATAATCTACAAGAAACGATTTCAAATCGCGAAGGTGCGAAAACGAACATGTGATATAACGATATAAGGTCTCAAAAGTGATTCTGATTCTACCGCTCATCAGTCAAGGCCGTCTCAACATAACGAAACAATATCGTCTTCCACAGCGCGAGTTGGCATCGGAACGTAAGAGAAAGTCCTTGCGTGTATCGCTATATCGTTATATCGTCTTCTTCACTCGACGGCTTAAATCAGATTTCTGATGCATCGCTTGGAATGAAAGTTGCTGTATCGGTTTGCCAATATAGGCGTTAAATCGATATGTCGCGATATATCGATTTATAGCCCAGTCCTAATTACCGATTTAACGGTTGACACCACAATATCTACACATGAAGAGTTTCTAGCATCTTGAAACTAGTGACCCTGGACTATTATAATACGAAACTCTCATTCCAGCATAGATGACAGCACCAAAGAGCGTTGTATATCAAAAAAGTTTGATATTTCCCATATCTCACGATAAATGGTCAATTAACAATTTATATAATTTTTATTTTTTCTTATCCAATCAAAACTGTCAAACAACATAAAG